AATTATCCTGAGAACCACGTGGGGAAAGTGGAAAATAAATAATCACTGAGGGGAGTGAGCACGGCTCTCGATGGAATGGGGCAACAAGGAGAAATTCTTCACTCCAGGTTCTGCTCTGACTGCTTGTCTTTGACCATGGAGGCACAGTGCCGCAGGGACTTGCTGATCTCTGTGTTTCATTTGGTTTTCCGCTTCAAAGGTCCCCTTCTCATGAGGTTGAATGCCAAGTGGTCCAAACAACAACAACAACAACCAAATAACCAAACAAAAACCAAGAAACCAAATCCTCTTTCCCCTTGGGATGTTCTTGCTGAGACAGGAGAAAATTACATTTTGAGGCTAGGAATCAGAAAGGTCAGTCTTTGGGGTTCTGTGGAATTATAATATTAAGGTAAATAAAGAAGTGTGTTTACTTTGTGACAATGTAAGTATATTTTGGGCATTTTTTTAAAATTAAGGATGGAGGATTCCTAAGTAAGCTTGTGAGCTGCCCTGACCATTTAACCTCCACCAAACTGACCAGCTCCTTCATGTCCTATAGACAAAACCGCTGCCTGTAGGGATTTTCTTGGTCCCCAATAAAGCCTCAGAAAAGTTGTCATAGCAACAGTGGCCACAGATAATAAAGCAGGGTGAGGAGGTGGCCTTACTGGCCTTCAGGCTTTGTTAGTTCATGCTGTCGTGGGCTGGGATGGCTTATTCACAGATAACATTTCATTTCAGCAAAAATGCCCTATTTTGGAGACCCCCTAGAAGAAGCATGTCTTGCTCTCAAACAGATCACTTAGGCCTCCCCCATTTGTCCTCTGTACCCCTCCATCTGTACTGTTTGCCTATGCTCAATCTGTGGGCACAGAGATCACCATTCTCAGCTGAGTTGTTCCTGACCGTGAGCTTGCTGAATGATGTTAGGTTGGCGCTTGTCATCTTTCCTCAATTGCTTAGGTGGATCTCTCAGTTTTTCAGCTCTGTGTGGGAGGCTCGTGCAGCTCTGTCTTTGTTCAGTGTGCCAGAAGAGTCTGAGAAGTCCTGGGTTCTTTTCTAGCAGGCTGCTATCACCTACACATGGTTGTTATACATGTTATGGCTCTTGCATTTAACGATCGTGTTAAATGATGTTACTCCCATGGTGCAGAGGGATGGTGTGCAAAAGCCCCGTGTATTTTAGGATTCTGGGGTGGAATGATGCATTCCATCTGTCTCTCTGGCACAGGGCTGTGCCTCAAGTTTTCTGTGGTAAGGGTCTGAGGTTGTCACATTTATGTCATTTTTTTTCTCAATGTCAAAACTTGTCATGTCTTCCTGATAGATTAAAAAAAATAGCTGCTTTTTGTTTTTGTCCTTGTGTGATGCTTGTGGCCTGATTTCTGGTATTTAAAAAAGTCTTCAGGGTTTCTTTGAAACTTGCAGTTTTGCTACTCCATCTGCCTGAATGTTTACCTGCCTCTGTCACTTGTGTGTGAATGTGTGTGTGTGTGGGTTTCCTTTTGTTTCTTGGTGCTGAGGAGCAAATCTAGGGTCTTGTGCATGCTGCACAGATTCTGCCTCTACACAGTCTGCCTTTAAGCCATACTTTTTATGACTGCTTACACTGACCCTTTAGGAACACAATGAGCACATCGTAAATTTTGATTATGTGGAATTTCAGGTGGGACAGAGAGAAGGCGCAATTTGAATGAATGCGATTTTACTGAGCCATCTTTATGCTGAAGTATTTCAGAGGGTTATGGCCTTATGTCAGGCAGCAGAACAGAGCTGAACTCACCGTGGTGATAACCCACTGTTCCCCATGTGAAATCAAGAGCAGGTATGCAGGCTGCAGGCAGAGTACGCAGAATGACGCAGTTCTACAAGCCGACCAGAACTAAGAATATCCATAGGCCGATGAAATGTTTAAAAAGCAATATTTGTACATAGGAAAATTGCACATTGGAAAAATGCCTACAATTGCTCTGGGGAGCCAAACCCATAGTAATTCTGCTCTCGAGGAAGCCAAATCTATTTTGGGGTATTTTTTAAAAAATCAGATTTATTGCCATGATTATTTTAAATATTCTTATAGAGAGCGAACAAAGAATGCATTTTACCTTTCATCCCAAAACTGGGGTGATTTTACCTTTTATCCCAATAACTGGGGTGATATGTGGCCCTTGATTTCCGTCAGTTGAGGTAGCACCTGTGAAAGATCAGCATGATAATAAACGAGTAGGCAGAGACGATAAACTGCCCCGTCCTGCCCACTCACCTCCATCCTTTAAACACAGATTGGCTCTGGGACATGAAAGGAGTGTTAAGCAGTTAACCCGCACAAACAGCAGTCGGCTGCCATGAGCTGCGCTTTGATGGAAGCATCTCAGTGGCTCCTTAATTGTGTCCCCGAGGATCCGCATATCTTAACCACCAGAAGGGCCACTTGGCAATAGCTGCATGGAGAAGAAGAACAGGGTCAGAAATGGGCAGATTAAATGACTCTGGGCGGTGGCTCTCAGAACCTTAACCTAAAGCGGGGAGGAGTCCTGAGCAGGGCAGGGAGTAAAATCACAAGGTGACTTGGTGTTTCAGATCCCCGATCTCCTCTCCCTACTTCCAGAATTGAATCTTTGTGATTGAAAGGATTCTGGGATAAAACGCTTGCTTCCCGCCTCCCTGATGAGGAAGTCATAAGTATAAGGAAGGACTACCTATGTTTGTCTGTGGTACTGACTTTCCTCTCCAAATAGCAATGTTTAAGGATATAAAATTCTAGTGTGTCTATGCTTTAGGTATCTATAATGGTATAATAAGAAACAGGATTTTATTTCCTATTTAAGAGGTAGTGATCCAGACATAGTGACTCCCACCATAATCTCAACACTTGGGAAGGCGAGGCAGGAGGAATACTGAGTTCAAGGCCAGCTTGAGTTACATGGTGAGTTGCAGGCCAGCCTGTGCTACTGAGTGTGACTTTGTCTCATCAATAATAACAACAAAACCAACCTGACCCAAGCCCTAAAATAGAAAGGCATTGGAAAAAAATGTAATAGCACAATAGTGTCACTAGGATATAATCATACCACCAAGCACAAAGTTGAGGCTCAGTAACTGTTTATGTGAAAGACATTGATGACTCAGCTACCTGGTTCTGCAGTTCATGACAAATTCAGTTCAGGTCATTACTTTTCAGTTCAGCTCAGCAGCCATTTACCTCAGTTATCCGCAAGGCATTGCAGTAGAACCTGCAGAGAATGAGAAGATACGATTTGGGCCTGAGGGTGACTGTGGTAGCAAAAATCATAAGACCAACATAAGACCGGTAGACAAACCCAGTACTCACAATAGAGGCAGTATTCACCGTACAAGAGTTAGTTAGAAAATACCCACAAGGGTCATGACCCTCAGGTGTGACAATTATTACCAGAGTGCACGTTGGTAGTATTACAGTGAATACAGTAACGGTCACCTAAGGATGGGTATGCATTTGAAGCCCACAATGAGTGTATGGCCAGTAGGGAAACTCCTTCTCATCATGGACATTGCATGGGCTAGGAGAAGGATCATAGCTGCGTTTGCCTCAACTGACCTATGTTCAGCTCCTACTTGCACTAATTGTCAGCTTTGTGAAATCCTCTTGATTTTCCATTTTTATCTCTGAAATAGAAATAATATTCTTATAAATATACCAATTTTCAGGGATGTATGGATTAAGAGAGATAATACATGTAATATCCTTAGTACAACATCTGCCATACAGGGGACCCCATGAAGATAGTTTTTTTTTCTTAATCCACAATTTCCCTTTTCTCACAAAGTATATTCAAATCCATCCACTTGTCTATCACTTTAATTAAATTTTAGTATTTTAATTATTACTTATGTGAATGTTTGTGTATCTGTGTATGAGTATTCACACATGTGTTGGGGGTGCCTGCAGAGGCCAGAAGAGGGTGTCAGATACCCTGGAGTTAGAGTTACAGGCCTTTGTAAGCCATTTGACCTGGGGGCTGGGACCTAAACTCCTGTCTTCTGGAAGAGTTGCAAGAACTTTTAATGGCTGAGCATGCTTTTCTTTTCTTAAAAAGTATTTTATCCTCTGTGTGTGTGTGTGTGTGTGTGTGTGTGTGTGTGTGTGTGTGTGTGTGTGTGTAGCCAGAGGTGTCTTCCTCTAGTATTTTTACCTTGTTGTTTTGAGGCAGGGTCTCTTACTGAACCCAGAGTCACTGATTGACTAGACTGGCTGGCCACTGAGCTCCTCTTCTGTCTGCCTGCCCCAGGTTAGCCTTCCCTGCCAAGTCTGGCTTTTTATATGGGTCTTGGGGATACAAACTCAGGTCTTCATGCTTGCACAGCACAAACTTTATTGACTGAGTCATCACCCTAGTCCTGACTAATGTTTGCCCTTAACCCACTGAGGCAAAGGGTGGTAATCCTTACCTTGGCTATTTGCTTTTTAGTAGCACCAAGGAAAGGAGAGAAGAAAATTAAGAATCTACACTTAGTCAAAGCAATGTGTATTCCCTAAAATGATGGGAATGGAATGTTCCAGGGAGGATAGGAAAGCTAACATTGATGTTCAGAGGACAGTTTCCATCCTATGTTGCTTGTCCTAAACCTGACCTTTTCCACTGGTGAATTGCATTTGAGAAGTAACCATCTTCTGTTTGTGATTGTTTGACTAACATATTTTTATAAACAGTGTATCTTAGACCTGCTCTGATTTATTTCAATATTTGGGTTTTCCTTTTGGCCAAAAAAAATGGGTAAAACGCTTATTATGACAAAAGATGGTGGGTGCTTTCTCATTACCCCCTCTCCAGAGCTAGAGGCCCATTCATCACACTGTGTAGTTTCTTATCTTGTCGGAGAAGTTTCTAGTTTCCCTCCCTCCCCACCTCCCTCCCTCCCTCTCTGCCTCCCCAGTGCTGGGATTAAAGGTGTGCACCACCATGCCCAGCTCCCTTTTTTACTTCTATGTCAAGAAAATATTCAAAAAAGTTTTATTAAATAAAACTTTCCAATTTTAGCATCCAAATCTTTATTCTGATGACCAAACTACTAGTCATCATGGGACAATTTCCTAACTTCACTGGCGTACCAGAAAAACACAGAACACTAAGTCTGGCAAAGTCACAGTAAGTAGATATTTTATCCATTTCATACAATGATGCTCTTAAACATCTGATAGATGACTCAGTTGTAAGAGTTATTGAAGTATAATAGTTCCTTATGCTAATTATGAACTTTTTTTTCTTTCTTCTTCAACCTCTTCTCCTTACCCAGATCACCTCATAAATGAGGAAAATAAGATTTTCTAAGGGGGTTTGCACTGCTTTCTCTAAATATTTCCCCTCCATATTATTTTTGATAACATAACTACCTATTAAATTAGAATTGCAAACAAGGAGGAACATTCAGCCATCTTTCTTATTTAGTTTTCCAAGATTTAATTTTATTTATGTGTCTGTGTGGTGTTGCTGTAATGATAAATGGCACACTTGTTGAGGGTATAGGTAACTGTTGTAGAAATTACTTACAAGAGAAAATGGGCAACCCAGATGAGTCAAGTAGCTTTCTCGCAACCGAGCCGGAAGCAAAAAAGAGAGCGAATGCGGCTCTGATGCAATCTTTTATCCCCACCTACATACTCACCTCTAGCCACACCCAAAAGTAGGCCTGGCTATCAGAGTAGTTCACCGCCCTGTCTCTAGTCATGCCCAAAGTGGGTGTGGTTAGTAGCATGGTTCCACCCTTTCCTTACCACACCTGTATGCGCCTGTAGAGTGCCACGTGGCTAATGGTGCAGCCCTACGATTCCCCCTACACTGTGGATGTAAGCCATGTACGTGCGGGTGCCATAGAGGTTGGAAGAGTTGACAGACCCCCTAGAATTGTAGTTATAGGTGGTTGTAAGCATCCCAGCATGGGTGTCTGGAACTGAACTCAGGACATCTAGAAGAGCAAGAAACTCTCCAATCAGAGGCCCTTGTCCAGCTGAATCTCCCTTACACAGCAGGGATTTCATACATCTGGCACAGTTGACATTCAGTCCTTCCTCTTCTCAGAGGAGCCCCAGGAAATCTGGCTAAATAGATCTTGGTTTATAGTTCTGTAAAGTAGCAATAACTGAATGAAAATCTAATTTTGTGATAGTTTAGTTTGGATTAAAAGATTATTTTATTCATGTAAACTAGAAAAAGAAGAAGGAGAAGAAGGAGAAGAAGAAGAAGAAGAAGAGGAAGAGGAAGAGGAAGAAGAAGAAGAGGAAGAGGAAGAAGAAGAAGATGTAGAGAATCATTTAAACTGCCCTCATTGTGAGAAGCTTTCCCCAGTCTTTGGCAGAGCTGGCCATGTTGACTGACAGTCACTCAATGCAGCCTGGAAAGGTGTATTAAGAACCACACTGGCCCTTGAGCAGGGGAGGGGTGGTTGCCTAATAGGCATTTTTAATACATGATAAAAATAACCTTTTCGATATTTAAATCATTTTGTTGCCAAGGGCATTTAATCAGGCCCATTGCCAAATGCTAATTAGTGATACAAGTGGAGGATTTTATTTAAATTTGTTGTACTAATATGTTGAAATATAAATAGAAACTGCCAGTTGAGAGGAGCTTGTCGGAGGGTGGGGTGTGGAAGGTGAAGGGGCATCAAGCCTGAAAACAATAGACCCAGTGTTTCCGAAGCTAATTGAAGCAGAGACCTTGAAAGGAAAGTAATTTACTTACAAAAAATCTTTTAGAACAAGGTTTTCAAGTACTCTGACCCCTGGAAATGGTATGAAATAATGATTTAGGCTAACTTGGTTGGGATCGAGGTCACTGCTGAGTGTGTTAGAAAACATTTTCTCGTTTGTTTTGTGCACAGCTTGACGGCTGAGATACTGTGGGCTAATGTGCCCTTCCATGAGTTTATTGTTGCTTGGACATCGTAGCGCACCAGCGCCCAAGCCTAGATGGTCAAGGCCAATTATTTAACATGGCCTCTTGATCCACTGAAGACACAAGAGTTTCTTTTAAGTACACTTTTAAAATACAACAGAATTACTGATTACACTCTAAAACAACCATAAAGGCTCAGTATAGCAAAGGCACAAGCCTGTAACATAGTTATTGTCAGCATCAAGTGTATCTTACTGTGCGTATCTACATGCTGTCCTACTATGTGACTGCAGGGATGCAAGTTTGGCTACACCAGCATCACTGCAAATGTGAGCTGTAAGGCAATCTTCAGTACTGCAGCATCACTGGGCATTAGTATTTTAAAATCTATGGTCTTCTGGGGCCACTGTGCATCTCTGATTAAAATGTCTTTATGCAACTCATGAGTGCATTGGCTTTTAGCATCTGTCTCTGGTTGGCCTCGGTCCTGAGTTTATTTCTCATCATGACCTGAGGCTGATGCTATTTACATTTTCAGTCCTGCTGATTTCCAAAAAAAGTTCATTATGGGGACATGGTAGATTGTATGGCTATAGCTAATGATATTAATAATGTGGCCATCAGAGGAGTGATATACTGCTCCATACAAATGTGTCTGTATTTCTGTCCACCATCTCCCACTGGGATTTCCAGTGCTTTGGCTTTTTGCTTCTTATGCTCTTGACATGTTTCCTTGCTTTCTTTTGGATGGCAATGATTGGATAAACCAAAGGCAGACAATTAATCACAGGGTAAGGGGATAGTGAGGAGGACCGAGACCCTCTATTATTTTTGCATGTGAACAGAAATGGGAAGGTTATTTCTTCCCCTGTGTTGGGTGAATCGATTGGTCCTTTAGACCTCTAAACTGATGTCTAGCAGCTAGTCTTATCATGAAATGTGTATGGAGTATTCCTGGTGAAAGAAACACATACTTTGGGCCAAGGAGGTATTTATCTTGATGGGGTTAGATTAACTGTGGGAGCTGGAGATGGAGTGATTAGTGACCTGTTGGTGGTTGACCCCTGTGAACAAAACTGCAAGATTCAACTGCTTTTATCCTGGCTGCTCTGGGGTTCCCCACCTCAGAGCCATTGTTTGTATGAATCACCCTTCCTGGTGTGAGTATCCTCAAGATCATGCTTCCTTTCTATTCATCCATCAATTCTCCTTTCACTGGAGAAGCCTCGGAGCACTAATCACTTTGCTGAAGGAAGCTAATGAATACATTTCAATCTACTAGATAAGTACCATTTACTGCCCTGAGCTGTGTGAAACTGAAAGTTACTTTGGAGTTGCTTGTGTACTTGTGTTTTCCAAGTAGATTCCTCATTAGTAGTGAGCCGTGTGTGTGTGTGTGTGTGTGTGTGTGTGTGTGTGCGTGTGTGTGTGTGTGTAGTGTGTGTGTGAGTGTGTGTGTATGTGTGTGTGTATGTGTGTGTGTGTGTGTGTGTGTGAGTGTGTGTGTGTGTGTGTGTGTGTTATGCAGCCAATTGATGAGAGTCCATTTAGCCATTCTTCATTGTGGCTCTAGCACTAGAAAGGATCCTTCTTGCATTTTCTTAGGTCAAATATTAACTTTTAACCACACAACATCTGGGTGTGCTAAAGGTAGATGCATTCAAATCTGTGTCAGCAAACGATTGTGGGACGCCTGACCAGAGTTTTCAGTGCTGCTTCTTGCTCACAGAAGGTCTCAATCAACATCTGGATTCTTGTAAGTCCTGGTGCATCGTGGAGGGAACGCTTTCAGTAGTTCTTACGAGACTGGACACCTTCTACCTGGAACCCTGAGGGTGAAACTGACCTCATGGGCCTCTTCCCTACCCAGACCAAGAGAGGGAGACTCAGAGAGTTTAGAGGACTTGCTCAAGGTCACTCAGAGCCACTCAGGATTCTGTATTCTTGCTACTACCCATCAGAAAACGGTATAATTCACAGCTAGCTGCCCTATTTGACCATCCGTCATGGACTAAACTCTAAATTTCCCAACTTTTTTTGTGTGTGTGCTCTCCATATATCATCTATGCTATTTCAATCGTCACATATCAAGTCTCAAGAGCCTCTGTCAACTAGGCTCTTTCACAGGTGAGGAGACTGTATGGCATATATATTAAAATAGTTTGCTTGAGGTTAGGGGCAACTAAGCCCACACAGAAAGGATCGTTACCGCCATTTGGACTTACATTTTGACATTTAGTTCTGGCGAAGGAAAAGCACTTACTGTTCTGTGCTCTTGCTTGGCTGGTTTCCTTCTGGGATCAATAATAAGCATTTATAATGAAAGTCATTCCTGTGACTACTCTTCCATCTGTGGGTGCACAGGAATGTGTGTTGATATTAACCCCACAGCTCCTGGCTCTTACCGCTCCCGTGGGGCCTCAAACTGTCCCTGCATAGACTTTCCACATCCGAGTGTGTGTGTCTCATGGCAACTGGATTTTATCTGTGGAAATCAAGCTTTATTAGACTGTATCCCTCACTCTGTATAGTGATGTCTTAATTCTTAACCCTCATACCCATTGAGGAGATCTTTTCGTTGACATTTATAATAGTGGCTCCTTGGAGACCAGTAATTTTTTTTTCAAATGTGCAGCCCAGGCTGACCTTTAACTCATAATCCTCCTGCCTCTGCCTCTTTTGGCAAATTCTACTGGCATGTACTATCACAACTGGCTAGCTAGTGATTCTTACACCCAAACATTTTTCATCTTTAGTTCCCTAAGTAACCACAGAGAAATAGAGAATACTTCTCCCCTCTCTCCCTCTCCTGTCCTCTCTCCCCCTCCCCCGGCTCCTCTCTCCACCCCTCTCCCCCTCTCCCTCTCTTTCTTACTCTCCCCCTTCTCTTCTGTTTTACTTTATTTCCTGGGCCCTAACCTTGAGCCCTAAAACATCACCGATTGGGCATGAGTTTTCAAACTCTCTTTAACACGCTGTATCTTCCCACTCTGGCCCTAACTGTTCCCTTCCTCAGCCACAGCACGGTGACAGTGGGGGGATGGGTGCCAGGGGGCCTTGGTGAGGGCTGCCATGACACTGTATCAGAGACTGGATGGCTTGACGAAGTACCATTTCTTTCCCACAGTCCCGGAAGGTCAAAGTTCAGTGTAAGATTCTGGTGGGGGCTTTCTCTAGGTAGCTGACTTTCTGTATTCTCACATGGCGAAAATAGAGTCCACACTTTCTCTCTCTTTTTTTTTTTTTTTTGGTTTTTACGAGACAGGGTCTCTCTGTATTGTTTTGGAGGCTGTCGGTCCAGCCCGGCCTCGAACTCACAGAGATCCGCCTGCCTCTGCCTCCCGAGTGCTGGGATTAAAGGCGTGCACCACCACCGCCCGGCTCCACACTTTCTCTTTACATGGAAAGTTTATTGGGGGAAGGTAGGGAGTAAGGGAAGCAAAGCGAGAAGAAAGATAGAGACAGAGAGAGAGAGACAGGGAGATAGTGACCAGCCTCCTCAGGAAACAGCAGAGAGTGAGAGCCCACACCTTCTCTGTCTGGTCTCTGCTTCTCAGAGCACTTAACTCATTCACAAGGGCCCCATGCTCAAAAAATAATTTCCCCCAGTGGATCTGCCTCCTGACACCATCACATTGGGGTTGGAGTATCAGTGAGGGATTTTAGGGAGACATGGCGTTAAGTCTGTAATGTCTGTTGTTCATGTCAGCCACCCTTCTCTTACTTAAGCCCTTTATAGATCCTTTGTAGATTTTTCTTTTTGTGTGTGTTTGTGCACGTATGTGTGCTTGCTTATGTGTGTGCGGGTGCACGAGTGTGCACGGGCATGAATGCACATGTGTGCACATGCACAGAGGCCAGAGGGCAATCTCAACTGTCATTCCTCAGGAACACTGTCCCCTTTTCATGTTCTTTGCGAGATGGGGCAGGGCTCCTCTCATTTGCCTGAAACTCTCCAAGCAGGAGAGGCTGTCGAGGGGAGCCCTGGCATTCTTCCCCTTTGCCTTCTCAGGGTTGGGATTGCAAATGTGCTAAACTCAGGCTTCAGTGTGACTTTGGGGATCTGAACCTCAGGTCATCCCAGCTGCAAGGTAAGCACTTTACTGACCAAGTCATCTACCTAGCCCCATTCTTATAGATGAAAAATGAATGCCCCTCATGCTCCTCCAACAAAAACCAAAATAGTCCTTTTTATTTACTCACATGAGAGGTTCACAGGTCCCTTCCTCAGTCAAGGGGACAATACACCTGGGGTTCAGTTTTTATACTTTTACTTTGTGCCTTACATTTTGATCACTTGATGCTTGATTCTGACTATTTTGAAAGGTGATATCATTGCCTCAGATAAAACCCTGGATTCCAGTCAGATCTGGCTGACTTCTCAGCTGAGGCTCTCTCTGGGCACACCTGGCCTGGTGTTGTGCAGCAGGTCATCCATCTGCGGCTCCAGTCACATCAGCTGCACATGTGTGTGATGTGCTGACTTACTCGTTTAAACCAACACAACGGAGGGTGGGAATACGATCTCATGAGAAGTGTACATCCAGAGCGTGTTGTAACACTAAGGCTTTGGTCCCCTGGGCTAGTGGGTGCACGAGACTCATATGACATACTCTATAGGAAAGCAAGTCCCTAGGTGTCTTCCCAGTTGGGACTGTCACCCAAGCCCCAGGTGACCGAAGCCCTGGTAACCATGGGGGACCTCTGAGGTGACAGACATCTCTCAGGTAGGGGGGCACTTTAGTGTAAGTGGATTGGGAACATTGCACCATCCTTAACTGTGGCACTAGTTCAGCTTGATGTCACTCCTCTGGGTAAAGGTCACAAGGACGGTTGTGTTTCCTGAGGCTCTGGGGTTATGTGTTTCAGCATAGGTTGTCTACACGAAACCACTGAGACTGTGATATCTTCACACATATTGCTCTGAGAGTTGTGTGTGTGTGTCTGTGTATGTGTGTGAGTGTCTGTGTGTGTCTGTGTATGTCTGTGTGTGTATGTGTGTGACTGTCTGTGTGTCTGTGTATGTGTGTGTGTCTGTGTATGTGTGTGAGTGTCTGTGTGTCTGTGTATGTGTGTGTGTGTCTGTGTATGTGTGTGAGTGTCTGTGTGTGTGTCTGTGTATGTGTGTGTCTGTGTGTGTGTCTGTATATGTCTGTGTGTGTGTCTGTGTATGTCTGTGTCTGTGTATGTCTGTGTGTGTGTATGTGTGTGAGTGTCTGTGTGTCTGTGTATGTGTGTGTGTGTCTGTGTATGTGTGTGAGTGTCTGTGTGTGTGTCTATGTGTGTGTCTGTCTGTATGTCTGTTTGTGTGTGTCTGTGTATGTGTGTGAGTGTCTGTGTGTGTGTCTGTATATGTCTGTGTGTGTCTGTGTATGTGTCTGAGTGTCTGTGTATGTCTGTGTATGTGTGTGAGTGTCTGTGTGTGTCTGTGTATGTGTGTGTC